AGCCGTCTCTTCCGTGCCGTGTCGTGCCGTGTCGCGCCACGCCGTGCCACGCCGTGCCGCACACACCAAACAAACAAGCAATTACTGGAATTGGAAGCACGCCCCCTTTTGGTGGACGTGTGTCATCATTATCAGGCCCGCTAGGGTAGGCTGCCTCCGGACCCTCCGGACATTGCGGTCTCTCTCTCTCTCTCTCTCTCTCTCTCTCTCTCTCTCTCTCTCTCTCTCTCTCTCTCTCTCTCTCTCTCTCTCTCTCGCTCGCTCGTGCGTGAGGCGCCCAGTGCGATGGAGACGGAGCGACGAAGCATTGTTCGGAAGGAGCCTGGTGCCCCAGCAGGTCAAGCCGGCATGGCCCAGGCCAGAGGGCGCGCCTCTTTCCACGCACCCCACTCGTCGGTTCCTCGATTCGAGCACCGCCTTCTTGACCTGCCCAGGCGCCCAGGCGGGCAGCTCCGAGAGTCGCTTTGTCTCTCTCGCACTCATGGGGCACGCCGTTCGGGTGCAAGCGAGACAGAGCGACGAAAACGACTGGCAGTCTGTAGTGGTGTGCCCCAGGTGTAGTGCCCGCCGCACGGCCTCGCGGGCTGCCTCGGTGGGCCGGTGGCTGTGCAGCATTGGGTGTGCACTCAGGCCGGGCCGGGCCTTTGAGCGGCACCTGCTATGCCTGCTATCGAGTGTATAGGCAGTACCTGCAGCACGAGTGCGCCGTCTAAAAGCCCCCCCACCCCGCCACTCTGCTGCCCTTGTTCCGCCCTACATGCTCGGGCCGGGGCCCAGCCGGGGCCCCCGCGGGGGCTCGCAGAGTGGAGCTCCTGGAGTGGAATAAGGGGTAGAGAGCAGTCGAAGGCAAACAGCGAGAGGGAAGTGGAAGGCAGCAAGGCAGCCGGGCCGGGCACAAAGGCCGGCGCTGGCCGAGCTGGCCGCGCTGCCGGACAGCGCCAGTAACGACCACTCCCACCCCCTGCAGCCCTGGCGGCCCGGCGGCCCGGCCGCGGAGGTCGGGGTCGTCAGTGTGCACGTGTCGACGGGGCGGCCTGCGGGGCCTGCGGGGCCTGCGCCAGGTGGGGGGGGGGGGGGGCAGCTGCAGCGGCGGTGGTAGCTGCAGCGGCGGCAGCTGCGGACCCCATTGACCTAGTTTCGCTCCCTCACAGCCTGGAGCGAGCCCCGCTCGCTGCCACGGGGACGACCTACTTTGAGGCGGTGCGCGCGTGGGGCCGCCGGCGGGGCCGCGCGGGGACCCCCCCCCCCCCCCCCCCAGGGGGGAGGGTGGGGCAGGGAAGGGACAGGACGGCGGAGACATCCTCTCTGGCGGGGCGTGGCGGGGCGTGGCCGGGCGCGGCCGCGGCGCCCAGCAGTGCGATAGAGATGGCGATAGCGCGCCCAGCGAAATTAGACTTGCAGCCGTTTTTCCATTTTTCCCTTCCGCTGCTCTGCTGATAAGTCGAGGTCCGGCCTGGCGGCGCCTCGCGGTCCGAACTGGCGTCGCAGCGTCGCTGGCGTCTGCAGGAGGAAGCTGCCTTCCGCCGGAAGCGTCGGCGTCATCGCGGCGCCCCGAGCGCGGCTCTGCGACGTCGCTTTCATTACTCTGGAACGCTGCAAAGCTGCAGAACGGCCATCATTCGGCGATTACTTTTTATTTTTTGTTATTCGGCCGTTTTGCCAGTGCGGCTTCATAATTGACGGTATTGCGGCGACGAGGCGGGGCGGCGGGGCGGCGAGCGGCGGCGAGGCCCTCTAGGAAGCCATTAGGGGCTATCGCACTTAGCCGACAGTTTATACACACAAGTTGGAGTAGTTCCAGCCCGGCGCCGAGCAGCGCGGCAACGCAAAGCCCATGGCTGTGAAACTGTCGTTAATGCCCAATTGGGTTTCGTTGTTTTGACGAGGCGCCGCGCTGCGCGTGCTGCGCGTGCTGCGCGTGCTGCGACGCGTTGCGCCGAGCGAGGCGGGTCGGGGCGCCGCTCCTCCGGCCGGAGTGCTCGCCGGCCTCGCCGGGGGAGGGCCAAGGAAATGCCCGGGGCGAAAAGCAAGGCGGAAGGAAATTGGCCGAATGCTTAACGGGGCGAGGCAGTCGCTGCCAGAGGCAGCCAGAGGCAGCCGTCAGCCCGATGTGTCCGTCCAGCCAGCCCACGTCCAGGCCCGCCCCGCCGTGTGGACTGTACCTCGCGGGTGGTCCGAAAGAAGGGGCGGGGCGGCCAGGCGGCGCGGGGCCCCGACAGGGGTGCGGATCCAGGAAAAGGAGAGGCCAGCTTAGCGCCTCGTGCCTGTCCTTTGGTCCGTTCTGCACCCCGCGGGCCCCACTCCCCCCTCCCCGCGCGTAAACTAGGTCAACCTGTGCCCGGCGGCCGCCCTGCCAGAGCCCTGCCAGAGCCCCACTAGCCTCGCACTGGTGTTGTGCCGCCCCCATGCCCCATCCCCTCCTTGGATGTCGGCCCCTACTCGTGCCGGGTCGCTCGGTCGTTCGGTCGCCGGCCGGTGCCACCCCCCGAGCAGCCACGCGCGGTTCTCCCCCACCGAGCCCCGCCGCTCCACCGCCCTCCCCGCAAGCCTGCACCCTTTGCGGCTACCCCCCGCGGGGCCCCCCGGCCGCCCCCCGGCCGCCCCCGGGCCTCGCGGTCCTCACGCCCCATCGCGGAGCTGAGCTCTCCCGATCAGAGCAGCGGCTATCATTGCATGGCGGCGGCCATGTCCAAGTCGCGTGCAGTCCACTGTAACATTTGACCGGGGCCCCTCCAGAGCGGCGGGGTGGCGCTGGGCGGCGCTGGGCGTTGTTGAGTGACTTCGTTGGCCGTCGTCACGTCGCCGTCGTCCCTCTCCGGGCTGCCTTTGTCAAAGTGGCGCAGCGCCGCCCCCGCCTGCCGCCCCTCTGGGCCCGCTGCCGGCAGTGCCGGGGCAGTGCCGGGGCAGTGCCGGTCGGGCCGGCTGGGAGGCTGCATTCATTTGCGCCCTTTCGGCCACCTTCTTTGTCTCCTCCTTGGAGTGCTTCCGCGGCGGCGCCCCGGGCCCTGGCGGTGCCCTGGCGGTGCTCGGCCGCCCTGGACAAAAGACTCTGCCTCTAGAAGCTCTGGGGGTGGAGGGGTGCCTCTCACTCTAGTCTCGCCGGCCGGGGCGCCGCCCAGTCCCCTGGCGACCCTGGCAATCGAATCGGGGGAGCTTTGTTTACACAAACACGATGTAACTCTGCCCGCTCCGGCCCACGCAGAACTGGGTCAGTATTCGAACCGGCGACCTTCCCGCTGATGACTTTGGAGAGGACGCGCAACGCGGCGCTGTGTTCCCCGTCCGCGTAGGAAGGACAAAGGATGTATGCGGACGGGTGATGAGCGCTGCTCGGTGCTGCAGGCTTCGTCGCGTTGTCTCTCTCGCACCCTCTGGAGCACCCACGAGTGCGAGGGAGACAGAGCTAGCGACCCAAGCACTGTTCGGTGCTGCCTCCTCGCGTCTGCCTCCTGTAGCGCCAGCCCTTTGTCTCGCCGTTCGGCTGTGGCGTGGCCAAGGAATGCCGCCCCAAGCCCCCGCCACCCCCGCCGCCACCCGGGGACCCGGAAAAAGCGGCGCCGTGCCGTGACGCGCCGCGCCCCCTCCCTCCCGCCCCGCCGCGCCCCCAGTAGATTGAGTCGACCGGCCGTGGAGTGGAGGACGCCCTCGCAGCCCTCGCCGGCAAGGGCATGGCGGGAGCAGGCGGAAGGGGAAGGGGCGGCGAAGGGGAGGAAGCGCGAGCGGAGGAGAGGGGTAAAGCAACTAGTTCAGTGGGGCTGGCCGCGCGGTGCGGCGCGGCGCGGGCGGCACTGTGCTCGCGCTCTAGTGGCGCAGGGAGGGGAGGGGAGGCCGGGCCCCGGAAGCGGCAAGGCAGGGCGAGGCGCGCGGGAGGGGAGGTGATTTAAGGGGTTGTTTTCTCTCGTATCCACGTGCCGGCCCAGGCCGGGCCCCGGGCCGGGGCCTCGCCGGGTGGTGGAGCGGCAGGGCGGCTCGGCGGTAGGGCCGTGGGTGGGGGTATTGATCCGCGGGCTGCTGCAGTGGTGGCGGCTGGGTGGCTAGGCAGCAAGGCTAGGCGGCCGGGTGTCGGTGCGTTGCGGTGGCCGAGGGCCTCGCCGCGAGGGCGCAGCACGGCACCGCGCAGCGCGCCAAGCGCCGCCTGCTTCCGCGCCCGGCAACCCGGCGGCCCTGAGCCTGCGCCAGCCTGCGTGCGGCCTCCACCCCCCACCCTCGCCCCTCGCCGGGCCCCCACGGTCGGGCCCTTCCTTTGTCCTCGGCTCGGAGGCTTGGCGGCTCGGCGGCCAAAGATGCCGGCAGGGCGGCCGGGTCCAGGGAATTACCGTCTGAAGAGAAGGCGACTGCTCTATCGGACGGACTTGGTCCGTCCAGCCAGGGCCGCAGGGCCTGTGCCTCGGCAAAGCGCTGCGCAAATAGAGGCTATAAATGCAGGCGGGGGATGGGGAAAGGGGTGGAGCGGGCTTCCGCCCCCGCGCGCCCCCCGCCCCGCGCCCCGCTCGACCTGGACAAAGGCGGCGGCGTCCCGGCGTCCCGAGCGCGCGGCTATGGGCTATGATACGGTGCCCCAGTTGCACGTAAAACAAAGGGGAATGGACAAGGTTCGCCTCGTGATGCGTTACTGGCTCATCACCCCTGAAAGCACTCTGGCGGCGTGGACGTTTGGCCTTTGCCTCCTAGAAGTGTTTCCTCTCTTGATGCTGCGGCGGGCTGCGGGACCGCGTCCCGTATCCTTTCGGATCTGCCGTCTGCCGCCTCCCTGACGGGCAGGCCGCGGGCAGACCGCGGGCCGTCCCCAAAAAGTTGTTATCTTGGCGGTCCGCGGGGAAGGGGATGGGTGGACGGGGCGAGGCGGGGCGGGGCGGAAGGTTCGAAGGCAGGCTTGGCTGTCATGGTGCGATTGGCAGGCCTTGGCAGGTGCGGTGCGATTGCGACATGACAAGGACAGGGTCACCCTTCGCTGACGACTGCCGACTAACGACCAACCCTCGGTCTGCTCCTTGTTGCAGGCGACCCGCATGGTGTTCCAGTGCACGTGGCCGGGGTGCCTCTACCTCACGACGACGTGCGCGTCCATCGAGAGCCACGTGCGCAACTCGCACCTCGGGCCGCGGCAGAACCGCGAGGCCGGCAAGGACGCCGAGGACGGCGAGTCGGACGACCTGAGCGACCACGAGGAGGAGTTCTACTACACCGAGGTGGAGCTGGGCCTGCACACCTCGTCGCCCCCCACACTGTCGCACCGGGACATGGCGCGGCCCCCGCATGAGGGTGAGTACGAAGCGGACTGTGCCAGGCTCCTTTGTCGGCGCCGGATAGCGTAGCGTTTCGTCGCTCTGTCTCTCTCGCACGTATGCTGTTCGCTGACTGCTTGGCTGGCGGGGCTGCCGGCTCAGCCCCTGCGAACGGCGCGTAGGCTACCCGGCCGCAGCCCTGGCCGGCGGGTTGCCTGCCGGCAGGCGTTGACGCGTGTGCTGCGTGTTCTGACGGTTCGCTGTGTGTTTGCAGACCCAGAGTACCAGAAGCAGCTGGCCAACGCCGCCGTTCTGAAGGGCTCCTTCGCCCTGGGCACCAGCCCCGGCGTGTCCTCCATGACGTCCAGCGGCCTCGGGTCCAGCGCCGGGTCCAGCAGCTCGTCCTCAGTGAGCAGCAACTCCTCCCTGGCCTCTGCCAACGGGCTGGCCCACTCGGCCTCGGCCCACGCCACCTCCCCCGGCCTCATCAGCATTCCGGCCAGCCAACTGCCGCCCTGGTCGGCCTCGGCCGCCACCTCGCCCGTCAGCATCAAGGTGGGTGTGAGGCTCTTGGCGGGCCGCCTTGCCTGCCGCCATGGCGCGCCACCCGGAAGCCGGCAACCCGGAAACGCAGTGCGCGGTGTTTGAACCTCTTTCGCTCTTTCCGCAGACGTCCCCGCTGAAGCACCTCAAGCTGTCGCCCCGTTCCGGCAGCTGTCCGTACCAGCCCGTGCTCTCCATGTCCGCGCCCGGCACCGCGTACAAAGTGCCCGGCTCGCCGACGCGAAAGGTCCGCGGCGACACCAAGAAGTGCCGCAAGGTGTACGGCATGGAGCACCGAGACCAGTGGTGCACGCAGTGCAAGTGGAAGAAGGCGTGTACGCGTTTCGGCGACTAAGTCCCGTCCGCGGCCTCCGCGCCCTCCGCGCCCTGGTCCCGGCGTCCAGGTCCCCGTCAGCGCTAGCAGAGCTCTGCAGCGGTCCAACCAGTCGGGGACCGTCATCGGGGACGGTGGGGTCTCCGGCCTACGCCCTCGGGGTGGGGGAGAGGGGACCCCTCCGAGCTGCCGTCCCGTCCAGTTCCCTGGGGAGTAGCGTGTCGCGGCGGACGGGCAGGGGCCTCGGCCTTCAGCAGGATCGCCCTGCCTCGCCGCGCGCCACCGCCACTCCCGGGCTGCCTCGACGGCCACCCCAGCCCAGCCATGGCCCAGCCCAGCGCGGCCCAGCCCAGCGCGGCCCCGATGATGTAATGATGCACAACTCACTGCCAGTACAGGAAGGGAAAGACTCTCAAAGACTTAAGTACAGGCATTCAATGGGACGCGGAGACAGCTCCGCGTCATGCCCAAGGCCATGCCGCTAGCTCCAGTGTCACCCTGTCACCTGCCAGTCACATGTGACGAATCCATCGCCACCTCGTCACTACCAGCGCCGTAGCAAGTGTTGCTTTTAATCGAGGACGATTTGTATTTGTGTTATTTTCGTTTATGTTTCAAATTTTTAATTTGTTTTTGTTATTTGTTTCTGTGCTGATGGTTTTCCTCGCCTTTTGACACCGAAGGGCGAGGTCTCATTATTTATTATTGTTTGATGATCGTACCTTCAGAGAATGTGATGTCACATGACATGCAGATTTCTGCTTTTGCAACAAATTTCATTCTGTACCAAATCAGTTTTCAAATTTTAATTTTTTTACTAAATGAGAATATATTTTATAAAGTACCTACATGGGAACATAATCACAGCTAATTTTACTTTGAAGTCTATTTTTATAGCCGGAAAACTACTGTGTGCATTGACTTGGTCTTTCTGAGCTGAGAGCGCCGTCTTCCAGCGGCTAAGTGACAATCTCTTTGGCAGCAGGTCTCCTCATGAGCCCTGGTTACAGATGATAACAAAATGTGACTACTTAAATTTTCCACTTACAAGCAAGAGTGAGTGATCCATTGCTGAGCATCTTCAATGGAAGCTATGGATGGGTCCTGGTAATGTCACAGTTTTTTATTGTCCCACCTGTCAAAGTTCATGTGGTTCTATTAAAATAAGCCTTACATGTAAATTGAGTGCTTATACAGTAGCAGGCTTTGGTCAGTTTGTTTCATAGCTGGGCACATGTTCTGTATCTCAACACGAATTACATGCATGTGATCAAAGTGAAGCAAGTGTGAGGTGGGAGGGGAGTGGAAATTCAAGAAAAAGGCATTGCCAATCTTCAGTTTATTACTCCATCTCTTCTTTGAATCTAAGTCAAGTGATCTCCTGATCATGTTTAACAGGCAGTGCCAACTTTTGCACACTGTGCATTTTGGAACACTTGTCTGTACTGAAAAATCTTTTAGAATCTATCATGTATTTACCGAGTCTTAAATTATTACTATCTGGCTTCCTTTTTAAAGTGTACATTCCCATTTACTCCTTTCCAGAGGAATAGTTGTCCTGCTGATTGGTTTAATCTGTGCAGGCACTTATTCATCAATTGTAATCTTTAGTGCCTGCTTTTGCATTATCAGATCCCAGTTACATGTGTACTTACATCAAATCAACTAGTCACCTCACAAATCATGCTGTTTTTATTTTTCAGAAAAGCTAAAATCCAGAAAAATATATTGTGCCAAGAAAAATATTTCTAAGCTAACCCGGCCCATTTCGGCTCATATACTAGTCAAAGCCCTGCTCTGATTCGTCAATTCCAGTATGACATTTCGTTATTGGCGATGGGAGCAAGAGAATCAGAGTAATTGTAAATACTCGCAATGCAACTCAATCAACAGTTACCTTTTTATTTTTATCTTCAAGTGATTAATACTGTATGAAACTTCGTAGTGTATGTGCGGCAAGAGTTAGAGCAAGAAATGAATTGGTGTTCAAATCTCAAGTGATAACCACATAGCTGTTCATTTGTTGATCCTTGTAGTATGCCATTTCAAGAAAGTTGAAACAGGTTGTGATTATTAGTTTTCTTTGTATTTTGAAAAAATTTCTTTTGAAATGTTGCATTGAAATTATAAACAAAAATAACGTGAGGTGAAAGGCTCTCTTCTACTTTTTTTTTAGTATGATTCGGCAAATGCCGTTATCGAATTTAATATGGGTTTTGAAAGATCTCATAATTTATGATTTACATAACGCTGCAAAATCTGTGTACAGTGCTTGTGGAGTTGATTTAAAGATGTTATCTGCTTCTTGTTTACAGAACTAGAGCAATGTGTTATGTAGGAGCAGCTATGTCAAGTGGCACCCTTTCAACTTTCATTCCTTTCTTTGGTACAGCTTCCATTTTTTTAAAGCCCAACATTTGGCTGGTCCTATGTTAAGTCTTTTTATCATTTCCCTCAATTTCTTTTATTATGAATTTTAATTTTCCAGAAGATTTTATCAGAGCAGTTTTGTTTCACAGCATATGTCTCGGAGCGCTGGTAGCTTCTGCATTTCTGTTAAACCTTTTGCTGAATGGTTGCTGTATCAAAGGAAAGTAATTGTTAACTGACAGTGTCTTTGGTCTATATATGAAGTATTATGAAGAGTCAGTTTGTGTACAATTGCTTGAAATGAAATGTCCTCAACTATACCATGGAGCGCTGGGAGCTCCCTGGCGAGAAGGCTATGATATATGAAAGGGTGCCCTGTTGTGTCACATGTCATCCGTACAATATTGTTCATCGTGCAAAAGCAATCTTCATCTATCAGGGTTCTTCTAAACATTTTAATTTACCAGCAGAAAATCAAATGACTGCTCTATTTTTTTTATCAAAAGACTCAAATAAAAGATGGAGGATCACAAAGAATTTTGTGGGATACATCTTTTGGCGTCAGCTAAATGGAGCCACAGTGCCCTCTTCGTTTGCAATGCGCCACCCCAACGAAAGTATTACACTGTGCGGGGTTCTCCCTGGATGGTATCATTTTTATCAAGAAACACCTTTATTTCACTTTCTAGCTTTAAGTTAATTACCACGTCATTATATTATTAAATATTTAATATATTTGTTACATGTATATACATATATATATATATAAATGCATCTACCTACTATAAATGTGTATATATATATTATGATATTTTAGAGAAAGAGTAGGTCTGTGATGAGTGACCATTGTACAGTGTAAAATTTATCAGAGAGGTATATATCTATAATTATATAAATGTATATATTCATATATATATTTATGTACAGGTATGCATGTGTGGGGTGTGCAAGATTAACAAACTTGTAAAAAGCCTTTGTATGTACCTCAATGAAGTACAGTCTCGCTCTGTTAGCGTAATCACAAAAGGATTATGTTTGCAGTCTGAATGCTTTCTGTCAGATGATTGTTGAACTGGCTAACTCCATACATGTATGCCTTGAAATTAGATATATATGTGTATATGTAAGTTGAGAAAGGTTTATATCCACACACAAATGTGTATATATCTAAATACAAGTATTTATATATATACATTTAAGTTGTGTGAATGTGTTGATAAAGATTATATAACATAGCCAATAATGGATCTCATTTATAAATACCCAAAAAATACACTGAACATGCAAGTACAACAACCCATAAGAAAGAGGGTAGAATTTATTGTTACATTGTAGGCCATTTACAAGAACATACATGTATGCTACTAGCTGAGAAGTAGTTGTTTAGACTTCACATTTTAAACATATATTCATATAGAAATCCAGCTGATTTTGTTGTATTAATTTGTTGAAGACTAAAGTGCCAGATAGGTATTGCTAAAATGCACATCTTTTCAAAGTATTCAGTGTGGGCAACATTGCCTTTGAACCGTTCTGGAATCTGCAATGTTAAATTGATCACCATCTGCCTTGTCTCATGAGTGGCAAAAATATTCATAGTGTAAAATCACTTGCTGCTCAAGCAATGGTGTTGTACTGGAATTTGAAATGCCTTTTTGCTGTGAAAGATTAAATATGTTATATTACTTACGCTCTGTATGCTTAAAGTTTGTTGTCAAATTATGTTGCTTGTTTGTCGTTTATGAGAAAAGATCTTAATAATTGTTACCATAGCTGATAATACAGCTGTATAAACCAGTTAACACATCCATTTCTTATTTAATTGACTCGGCAATATACCAGCAGGAGTATTTTGATAGAAATAAATATATATTATATATATATGTATACCTATATGTACGTTGATTAAATTTTCATCTTTATTTATGAAAAGGTTTTGATGTATATCTTTGGTACCAGAAGGCCTTTTAAGTAAGCATGTTATCACTAAGTTAGCCAAGCAGATGAGTGCATTCACACAATGCTCAAGCAGGGCTTTGTGTGTAGTCGGCGTAAGTCATTTGCTGGAATCCACTTGCAACCATTCGCCGTCAGACAGTTGAACATTTCTCTTTATCAATTGAATCATTCATTTATTGCCAAGTAAGTTATTAAAAGTTGAACATTCAATTTATTGGGTCTGGCTACTTAATTACCATACTCTAGGTATGACAATAAAAAAATTTCCGCCCTTCACTGCCTATGGTGTGGAAAGATATGGTGTGTATTGTAAAGGCATTACTGAAAGTTTGCAATAATTTTTGACAAAGTTCATTTTTTCAGTGCCATGAACTGTTGACCTAGGCAAAGATATGGGAGGGCTCTCCAATATTTGCCTTACTTTTGTTTCCTTTTGTTACCAATAGTGCTATTTTTTAAATTCAAAACTGAGCAAAATGTTTTGATGGCTTATCTTCATTGTTATTGCATCACAATGCCAAATCGAGTCGCATGCTTTCCCTTTCAAGACTGCTCAGGTCTCTCCTGGTTTTGCAAAGAACAGAGCTAGAAGTGGTCCTGCCAAACTGTACCAAAAATCTATGCAGCAATATGAGGGTTTACTGCCCTCCCTGCCAATATTTGAACAATTTATGTTCTTAATCTTCCAAATGGCAAACTAAATTGTGTATTATAAGGAAACTAGGTTTAACAATTAAAATTGAATTAATTTCTTTGTTTCCAAAATCAGATGGATTTCGTGAGTCTGTGGGGAATTGAATTAAATACTGCTTCTGGTTTGGAATAATGGACATAAACTGAGTATACAGCAGCAATAGAATCTCAGCACTTTGAACTGTGTCATGACCTGTTTTGACTCTGGTAATTCTTGTTCAGCATATTTTTTCCCACCATTAAATTTTCATTCTTTGTTCAAGTAGCTTCTTTGGCTCTTTGGAATGATAAATTAATCTCAGACGACAATCAATTTTGTTTCATCACCACTTCTTTCCTTAAGTTTGTTTGTCTGGTATGCACTCCTTTACTGTGATCTGGCAACATTGTAGCCGTTGTAGTGCAGCTATCACCCCTCTGACCGCTGTTCAAATCTTGCCTTATTTTTTCCCCTTTCTCTATCCGTCCGCCTCTTGTTTTCTTGTAGCCCTGGCTATATGTTCTGCACTTCTCTATACTGTCAGGTCTGTCTGTGTTGTTTTCTTGTTAAGTCTCTGTTTTCATTGACAGCAAAAGAGTGTGTTAGTTGTCTTCAACCCTGTTGGGCTTACAATGTTGTTCTATTATATTAGTTCATATATTTTATAATGATTGAATAATATATTTTTATCTTCAATATATAATATACATACATATATATACTCCTATATATATATCTATGTATATGAATATATGTATCGCTTACATTTTGATGTTTGTCAGTGTATTCACTATCGTTCAATCAGTTATTATAGGCATGTAACTTGTTCATAACTTGTAATGGTGGTTTAAGAATGGTATTGCATTTTGTTACGAATGGGAGCATGTTTCTGGATGAATTGGAATGAAATGGATTAGTCGTTCTGCTTGTTCATTTTGTTTGTCCGTCAGAAGAAAGTAAAAACCTATCCAGGGAAATAGTTGAAGGAGAAACGAGTGGAAAAGAAATGCATTCTATGCATCAACTAATTTCTATAATGATTTGTTGGCTATGGTTTGAGATGAGCTTCTAAAGTGTTCAGTTGTAAATGGTATATACTGATGAAGCTGGAAAGTTGGAGCCTCGATAGTGATTTCAAGTTAATGAACCAGTTGGAAACTATGTTCTTTTCTTTGGCTGAATTTTTACTTTGAATTTGTTTCATGGTTTACCATTGAGAGCCACAGCTTGCAATTCGATCTTGTCTAAACTGCAGGACTAAGTGGTTTCCACACAATACGTACTTGATGCATGCGCACAATCTGCTGGGACCTAGGGCACGTTATTCCTCTACTTGCACTTGTACCAATAACTACCACAAGTGAAGAAGATCAATAATACATGATAACAAGTGCCTGTTTCCTGTGCAGACCTAGACTTGCAACATTCTTATCAAAGCGTTAAATGTGATATTTAAAACTTGTTTGTAAATCAGTATAGAGTGTAACATAAATTTTACCAACTCTATTAGTTTTTAAAACATATATTTTCTTAGATTTAGCATCATACCTGATTGAACGCCTTTCTCATTAATGGCTACTTTCCTTAAATTTTGTTTTGTGCTGGACAAATTCAATCACAACCACCAAATCTCATCTCAGGAAAATAATACCATCAATTCCATCATGTAATATAAAAGTTAAGATGATAAATCAGCTATTTCCCTGTATACTTACAGTGTAATAGATATATTAGAATACGAATGAATATTTGAAGTACGTATTTTTCTTTTGATTCTGGATAAATAAATACTAGAAATGTATTAGATGTTTACAAGTGTAGCAACTTCCTATTGAATCGGGAAGAACCGTGTAAAATTAGGCATATGTACATCTCTGTACATCATGATCTGTAAGCGACAGCAGATAGTAAATTAATCAAAAGTCTGCTGCATCTTATCTGCTACTTCTCTTCAAAGCGCCTTTAGTCATTTTCTTTTTCTGGATTCTAAATGCTTCTTGTATCATAAGTTCCTTCCCTAAAAAATAGTTGATTGTGAAATATCAACCATAATTTCACATGTTCTTTAGAGTAAGTCTTCAAAATGGAGTACATTTTGACAGGAGATTGTCAAATGAGTGGTGGAGAAACTGCTGTGTCTGGCAGTTAGTTGTTCTCTTTAGCTTTATGTTTCATCCCAAGTGAAAGAATACTCGATAAATTACTTGCCTCACGGTGTTGACTACAATGATGCAAAAATATTAATATATTTGTAAATCTTAAACCCATCTTGCTGGACTTCAGATATACATTCATGTTTTTTTTTTTCTGAATCTTTAGGTTCTCAGAATATTATATCAGTTATGTGTATATTGAGGAATCGTATCCTTTATAAATGTAAAAAGCTATACAGTTTTATTATTAAAATTTTATGTGTAAATCACCTAGAACAATGTTTCTCTTATTTCTACGTCACTATCCTACTAAGTTTTTCTTTTCATGCTCTCATAATCAAAAACATTACACACACCGTGGAAACTCTAAAATTATTTTTGAGCCACAAGATCAAAACAGAACACAAATGACCATACATCTACCGTTCAGGCGGCTCGGCCAAAAAAATTAAAATGGCCCAAATTGTTGTGCTGGAGCACTCCCTAGCGATTCCGAGGACCAGTTCGGCCCTTCACAGTCTTTTTCTAAGGGCACGGTAAAAAACCAGAGCAAGCACTAGGGCTCAGACTCAGAGTGCAGTCCCTAGGCCCAAAAGTTGGAATTGAATTGAACCTTTGGACATTCCCGCTGCCACGACCTGGTTTTGAATATGAGAAGTTTGTTGTGATAGAACACGCTAGAGGCCACCTGCAAATGATGTGGTGCGGCTCGAACGCACTGCGCTATTTGTCATACATTTGTTACTTGTAAGGGAAGTGAAACCTTTTTCCCGCCTGTCTTTCTTTTGTTTATGTGTGTGTTGTTTTTGTCATTTGTATTGATTTGGTCGAGTTTGTAGGTTGGGTGAATTGAATTGAGTTTAAGGCAAATTCAAGCCAAATATCTCATCGATTCCCCTTTAGACGATTCTAATTCATTTGATAGGCATCCCTAAACAGAAGCCATCATGCCCAGAGTCAAAAGTTCTCCCTCTAAATGCGTTAAAACTAAATCTGGACAATATGTGAGCACTTGGTATTTTCTTGTCAAAGGTAATTTATTTAAATAATTCATTAGACAAAGTCTTAGTCTATAACCCCTGTTTCTTTTAGCTTAAATGGGAAAACGATCTCTTTCTTGCTGAAATGCATCTGGACAACTGTCCTTACAGTCATCCTTCAAACAGTTCTTTCGTCCTATTTCTTAAATTTTGTCAACTGTGACCATGCCTTTGAAATTTTGTGAGAAACATATGAATTCACCATTCTAATTCATGCCTAGTTTATCTCATAAGAAATGTCATTAGATATTTTCACCTCCTTAGAAAATTGCTTTTTGTTACCAGGCAAGTTGATCGACCACAGTGGACATCCTCTTGATATAGTGAAACTTCGTCACCCAGCTACTGGCGAATCCTCCATGTTCCTATTTAGCCCTAAAGAAGAGTCCATTCAGGAGGTCCTTACTTTCTCAGAAAATAAACGGTATGCACTTCTAATTCAATAATTTGTTTCTTATATTTACATGGTCTCTTTTCATGATGCTTTATTTTCCAGTTCGTGGTTTGTGAATGACACAGTCAATGAAGATGGAAAACTACTTCTATCCACTCCATTTGATCCTCTTTTCTTGGTTGTTCCATACTTGGCCAAGGCTACAGCTACAGTGCCTCTTGACCAGTTGTTACAAGATGATCAGTTTCCTCAAAATAAAAGACTGCTACAATGTGCTGGCATGAAACACTTGTCAGAAATTGCAGATCGTAAGGGTGAGTCCTTTCGCCTCTCTTTACATTCAATAGAGACGGTTCCTGGCATGTTTCGAAATCAATGCTTTCACCATTTTAATACATACCTTTACATCTCTCTGCAGGTGATCCAGATATCAATGCTTACAAGTTCAATGAGGAAAAACTAATGATTTGGCTTGAGAAAAAAATAGAAAGGCTTACAAAAGTTCTTCAAACAAAGAATGTTAATGTTACGGGAGGGTCTGTGTCGGCTACATTTGTACAAAGTTCTACTGGACAAGCTCCCAAAGGTAAGTGACGCTTCCTGAGTTATTGACTAATAAAGACGCCTTTTTGCTTTTAAATGCACTTTCTTTTACTCTTTCTACTCTATTTTTTTTTTTGCAGAGGCCTACTTGAAATATGCTCATGGAATAATGTCAGAATTCCTGCCGGAGGACCTGGGCTTGAAATTCTATCACCATCTTAAACTTCCACCTGAAGAGGCACCTGGCATGAAAAGAAAATCAGTAGTGACACCTGACCAAAAGGATCCAAAAAAGATGAAATTAGATGATGGAAATAACGATCCAGCCTTAATTCCAGTTGATGATTCTCCTGAAACCCAGAAAGCAGAGAAAGTAAGTAAAGATCACTCATTTTGGTAAATCTGATTTTTAACATAGATGTACTCTATGTGTCACTGATTTGGTCTCTTTCTTCATGCTGCATTTTAAGAGTGGAGAAGGTCTTCAGTAGTGATGTTTGTTACCATTTCTACTCTGATTCCACTGCCAATATTGGAATTACAAATAAATACATGACTTTTTTTCCCTCTTTAGCACGTTGAAAAATTGTCATCCAAAGACAAGGCTCGACAGAAAGCTGCACAGGGGTCCAAAAGTATAACATCCTTCTTCAAGAAGTCATAGTAACATCTTTTGCCAGTCACGAAATCTGTTTTCACTTGTACTGGAAGGCAAATAGGACTCTTACACCCCTAAAATTTTCTGTCTTTGTCACATGAGTTTGTTAATTTTTTGTTGCAATAAACTATGAGGCTTTTCAGCCTCCCATCCCCTGTTGAACCTCTCGGTTCTCTACTATCCCTCATATGTTTCCTTTGTCATTAAAATATTTATATGCATAAATAAACAGTTATTGATATATAGTTATTATGTACTTGCTTACTAAATTGCAAGTCAGTGCTTAAATTTGACATGGTTGGCAATACAAGTTTATCATTTAATTATACTTTCTCCTACTAAATTGTCCACTCATGACTGTTTGCATTATTTTATTCTTCCTTGTCATGATACAGGAAGCCCATCATGATTTCCTTGTCAAAATAATTGACTGCCAGATTATAGGACATTATGTGGCTGTGAAATTTAGGCATGAAGTAGAGCCATTGGTTATTCATGTTTGTATCCCCTTTATATGCATAATTGGATTTTGTGAATTTTTATCTGTCAATGTATGAAAGAGCAAAGCCATTCTAGATGACTGTGATTCAAACAAACTGTTTCCTTGTTATAACTGAAACTCGTAACAAAATTGCTGTCCAAGGGTTAGTTTAAAAGTGTATCCTGTTTTGATCCTTCTAATTTCTACATCTTGGGCAGAATTGTGTCAATAAACTATATCACTCAAACTGAGCTCCGTTTTACGTGTTGTTTTTATTTTCAATCAAATATTCCCATCGTTCATACTAAGCGAAAACAATCACAATCTTAGTCGACAGCCTTGAATCGCACAGCGGGAGGGCGATGACAAGGACAAGAGGCAAGTGATGGTCGGGCTCGAACGCCGGCATTCCGTCCGAGTTCAAGTTTAAGGAGCGGCCGGGCCGGGCGCCTGCCGAGTAGGCCACACTCGTACGTGCCCACACTGGTGCGCGGTGGTTGCCTACTCGCACGGCGCTCCCCGCTCCAGGCTACTCCAGGCTAGAGCCCTACACTGCTCTACTCCAGGCGGGCTCGGCGGCGGGCATCCCCTCCCCCTTCCCGCCCCGAGTCCGTCTGACTCGGCAACGAATGGGGACCAATGGGGACGGAATGGCTGGCGCAGCACCGCGCAGCGCACAGTCAAATCTATTTGGCGAGCCCGTATATTCCTCACAAACTCGGTTTATAACGGGCCCCGGGTTTGGCCTCCAGCCCGGCCCCGGCCTCGGCCGTGAGACAGAGACTGGCTGCTTCGCGGACGCTGGCGGACGCTGGAGTGCCGCCAAAGTCACGCAAACCACGGCCTCGGCCTCTCTCGGCCGGCCGACGCACCCCGACGCACTCACCCCACGCTCCAGCGAGGACGCCGAGGACGACGCCGACGATGCGGGGAGTGGGGAATCGCGTCGGGCGTCCTCTTAGCGCCAACTTCGGACGAGGAGGAATCCCGCTTTCGAGGAAGAATGAAGAATGCCGCACGGCGAACGAGGAGAGAAGACGGCTTCGATGTATCGGGGCTTTAGGGCGAAGGGCCGGGGAGTTCCAGCTTAGGCGCGAAAGACAGCACCACGTCGGCCCAGCAGCCTTTTTACCAAAAAATAGACGAATAAAGACGAAGTTTGGGGCCGATCGGATCAGTACTCTCCGTGCCTGACGCCCTTTTCTGTCTTCCATAAGAGTGGACTGGGAAAAAAATTAGTCTGGACTTTTGCGTGGGCTGCCCCACTCGGCCGCCCCCCGTCGTGAAGAAGCTGAAATTCCGGCCCAATCTAGGGGAAGGGGAGGGCAAGGGGTGGGGGAGATTTACGGACTGCTGGTGACGTAACGCAAAGCGGACACGCCGCTCACTTCCGCAAGTCTGCAGCCCTGGGTCCATGGTCTATCCCCCTCAAAATCAAACCCCCCTTCTACCTCGATGGTCCGTCCACGGCTCGGTCCACGGCTCGGTCCACGGTGCAGACGGCCCGGGGGTTGTCGCGTAGCGCGCGTAGCGGAAGCCGATTATGTAACAGCCGGCGCCCTACCCCCACACGTTTCGGCGCGACGCCCGCGGGGATGGGGCGGCCCTGTAGCCCCTGTACCTCGATCCGCGCGGACGAAAAAGTTCCCACCTCTACCGCCGTCTATCACACTCTGAAACGTCTCCACTGGAACTAAGCAAGTTCCATGACTCTGGACAAACGGAGAGAAAAATTTTTAAGATACATACTGAATCTTTTTAATGCAGACGGATTTTGCGTGAAGGAATTCCGGTGTGGACGTGGACGCTTTGGAGGGAAACTACGCTGTAGAGGCGCATTCTCGTCTTTAAGGACTGGTAGAGGTGCCGGGCCGGGCCGGGCCGGGCTACCCCTCGGCGAACACTCCACCGTGGGCCAGAAGACCGGTGGAGGCGGCAAAAATTCCAGACGCGTTTTGAGCTCCAGAGCCGCTAAACAGAACTCGAACTGAACGCGTGACCCCACTAATGGATTGCTCTGCGAACGAGGTGGGGTCACACGCCCAGTTCGAGTCCCAAATAGCGACTCTGGAGCTCAAAACGCGTCTAGAATTTTGGCCGCCTCCACCGGCCTTCTGGCCCACTGTGCACTCCGCGCCAAATTCCGCCGATTCAGTGATTGGGTCTCGCGTCATGAGTGAATGCGGCCTCTCGTGGAGTGCTGCCTGCGGCTCTGCGGCCGCGCCGCCTGCGTGGTGGTGGAGTGGTGCGCGCGCGCAAGCGTGGTGCGGGACGGGGCCGAGGCCGGGGCCTGCGGCATGCGGTGCGCCGCGCGCTTGCCTCGCTAACCACCATTCTGGACCCTCGCCTACTACCCGGCCAGGGCTGCCAGGGCGGGCAGAGTGACAATGGAGTGCAGCCCGCCGGGCCTCGAGGAGGTGGAGGGGAGGGGGACTGCGTGGGGCCCGGCCCCCAAGATGAGGACAGCGCAGCGCTGAATCCTATCAGGTGAGGGCGGCTCCACCATTGTCAACCATTGTCCCCGGGGACCGTGCTCGCGACAATATAACCACCTTCATCGCCCCCTGTAATTAACTTGTAGTTGGGAACACGAGTCGAGACTGCAGATCGAAGGCTGAAGGTCGGAGCAGCGGGGAGGGGTGGCGGTGCAGGGGCTGCTCTCGTCTGACAACCTGGCAGCAAACTTAGCAGCGCACGGCAACACACGTGTTGAAATTAGCACAATACACGGTCGGGGAGGGGGGGGGGACGACGCCAGGCTCGGGGCCGCGCGGATCCAGAGGTAGACGGCGAATCTGTGAAACAAATGGAATCCGGTTCGTGCAGTGCCGTGGCGGTGTGGCAGTGCAGCGGGCGCCGCGTCGTATTGGACGTGGCGGGACGTGGCTCACGCTGTCTGGGGCCGTGTCTAAGTGCGCGGTACGGGCGCGAAACAAACCAAAAAAAAAAAGGAAATCGAAAAAAAAAAACAACACGGCGCTGCTGCTGCTGAAGAGGGAGAGAGACAGGAAGAGAGATGTGGTTCTCTTCGAAGATGAGGGGTCGCTTTGGTTTCAGCCCCTCATTTTATTTTTAGAGACACACGAGGCATTCACTGCGCGTCCACTGCGCGTCGATGCTCGCCAGGAGCGCTCTCCGCCCGCCGACCACTAACTCCTACACGTTAAGTAAAGGAAAATGCCGGCCGCCTTAGCAGCCAAAGCCGCCTTCACTGACGGAATTAATTCGAATTAATTATGCAGCAATTAACACCGCAAAGTGGTTCACCTCGGCAGCCCGCCGCCCACAGCCAGGGTCTGGAGGAGGTGGATCGAGGTGGACGCTCCTGGCGGGGCCGCGGCCAGGGCCGGGGGTAGACCATCCCGCCCACCCTTTAAATGTATTCCAATTAACTTTATCAAATACCCGTCGCGCCGCTCGCGCCGTCAAGAGCCAATCGCGGGCCGGGGTGCCGTTTCTCCTCCTTCGCTCGGCTCGGCTCCGCTCCGCCGCGCGAACTCCAGCAGCATGAATTGAAAAGCTGGCATCCAGGGGAAGCAGCGTTGCAGTGCAGAGAAAACATCCCCACGACGCACAAGTGTGGAGAAGTTGCCACAGTAGTAGGCAGGCTCTCGGTACACAGGTTTCAGCCTACACTGCTCAAAAAACAAAATCTTGGAAACTGTTCCAAAGCCTGTTGAAAAAAAACTTCCGATCTTTGGAAAATTCCAAAACCACCGATGTTCCCATTTTTGCACGAGTTACCAGCAAGTACAGTGCGAAAACAATCTTGTCGAAAAGAGAAGCCTCCGGAAATTGCCGATGGACGTTCCAAACGCACTCTCCGGGATTTTCCATTTTTTACTTTTGACAGTGTAACAGCCCCGCCGAGATGGAGATTATTCACAATCACGGCTCTTGATGACGCTTGCCGATTCGACGCCGTGGCTGCAGCGCGCTGCGTTTCGCAGCTTCGCACCTCGGGGCTGGAGCGGCTGGAGCGGCGAGGGGGAAACAAACGGCTGGGAGCGGGGGAGCGGGGATTCAATCTCTTTATAGATTTCTAGAGGCGTTTTTTGTGTGTTTTTTTTTGTTCTTGCTGCTGGAAAAATGCCCCGTATTATTCGCTGGCTGGCGCGCTGCAGACGGATTCCGAGAGTCGTCGCTCTGTCTCTCTCGCACCTTCGGGGGACGCCCCGTGAGTGCGAGAGAGACAGGGCGATGAAAAAAGCGACTGTGCTGCTTCGCTGCTTTCGGTGCGCCGTCCCTGCGGCTTTATTGCGCCAAGCCTCCCCCGGAGCATCGGAGCAGCCAAGCCTCGGCGAGGCAGCCCGCCCAGCCCGGCCGGCGGAACGAGCGCAAGCCACGCCAGGCCTGACCCAGGCCAGGGCGGCCTCAGGGCGGCCACCACCGTGAACGCGGTGCCGGCGTGCCTTGGCTGGCCTGGGCTGGCCTGGGCCGTGCCGGCGTGCGAGTTTCCCTCCGGGAGCCCGCCGCACCCCGACGGGACCGCGCACCGCGCACCGCGACCAGCCCCATCGAGCCATTTCCGGTGGGCTTCGACCTTTCTATCGCAGCCCCTCAATCCAAAGTTCCAAGAGAGAGAAAAAAAGGGGGGGAAGCAGCATTGCCGACGATCCTCGCCGTTGTCCTTCAGGGTCACGGAAATCGCGTCGAATTCCGAGCGCGCGACGCGGTTTTCGAGACTTGCTCCCACACTGCAATCGGACGAATTTTACTTCATACGGAACCACCGTATGGCGTATGGGTAATTGTTTTCCGTACATGAGTCGGAACAAATATTTTCGCGTGGCTCCGTACTCTATTCATACGAGCATTTTCCAGACAAAATTACGGATTTTTTTTTCCGCGTCACGTTGGGTGGGTGCCCTCTCTGCAGGTGCTGGCGCGGCGGGGCGGGGCGAAGGACACGAAGGGGTCCTCCTCTCCTCAATTCAGACGGGGCCACCCGTGCTGGTGCATACAGCCCACGCCGAGGCCTTGACATTTTTGTCGGCAGTGAGGGGCGCACCGGGAGAGGGGAAAGGGGGGGGGAAGAGGGGGCGGTGTGTGGAAGACAGCTTCCCATCAATTAGGAGTGCCACCGCCCTCGGCTGGGCCGCCGGGGACAAGATGGGATTCTCGCCGTCGTGCCGCGCCGTGCCGCGCCGTGCCGCGCCACGTGATTAAAGGTGCTCCTCTGTCGTGGCGGTGGGCTGCTGGGCTGGCGGCCCGCTAGGCTGGTGCTGGTGGGCCGGGACGGGCTATGCGCA